CATGTGTCATAACTATTTATTTAATTAATTAATTCCACTTTTAATTAATTATTGCCACATTTAATTAATTATTTAATGGTGTATTTAATTAATTCATTATGGCAGTCCTGGCGTTCCATAAATATGCGCCATGGTGTGGTCTTTCTTTACTTGTGACTTCTTGATCTTGGTAAATAAAATAACTGAAAAATACATATAATAATGTACAGCACATTATGGAGTATGCTTCTGCTGTGAGGTCCTGCCTCCATGTACTTAGGCAATTAATCACTGGACAGCTGGACAGGTATGTTTATAAATATCATTATATTAGGCGAAATTTCTTATACATATTTCTGACCTAAGGGTTGGATTTATTTTTCAACACCATTATCTGGACTTCTACTTAAGCACATGAATATCTGTACTTTTGCCACCTCTGGTCAAATTGTAGTGTTACAAGTGGATCAGGGACATTAATCTTTGTCAGTTGTACCATGCAGTTTAATCATTCAGTGACTTAATCCTTACAATGATTTCTGAATAAGCAAAGCCTAGTATTGAACAAAGGGGAATTAAGTCATAATTTCTATTTCCTCAGCTTTTCTCTTTGTTTGTTTGCTGTGGAGTTAACTGAAACCAGTGTTAACTAGATTATCTTGAACATGTTTCTGAGTAGTCCTCAGCAGATGATATGAGAAATACCACATTTAAAACAAATAATAACCTTAACCTATGAATCAAAAGTAAAAGTAATCTAAAAGTAGAAACATGATGAACAGGTTTTTAATAGGGGAATTTGACAGAGAGATGCTTCATGGGTGTGACTGAGAGGCAGTAAAAGCAACAACAAAGCAAATAGAAGCAGAAAGGTGTACTTCATGCCAAACTCTTAACCTGCTTTCTCACAAATGACACGGACAGCACGGAAAAGTTGATTTCCACACATTGGAGCTTTAACACTTTTGTAGTGAGGATCACAAGTCTCAAGTAGTGAACAGATTAAGGAGGAAAATAAACGCTGCAACACAAAACCAGGAAAAATCAACCTCAGCAAAAAGTTCTTGTCTATAAATTATATGCTTTTCCTCTTTGTGTATTCAGCATGAAGTTTTTGCTGTTGCTGCTTTTCTGTCACATTTCATCTTCAGGTAAGATCTTTTAAATATTTTACTTTTTTTTTTTTTTTTTGCATTAAAAGCAGTGTCCTGCAGTTTCCTATGGTTTATGATACCCTGAGTGTGGACACTTTATTAAGTACACTTTGATAGCAATAGGTTGGACTGATTCAACAATATGCTGGAAAATTTCCATTATTGGATTGAGATTTGGTGATTTTGGAGACCATTTGAGTTTAGTGAACTCATTGTCTTTTGTGTCCACATACTATTGCATTTGTTCTGTAGATGCATTTACCAGAAGCACTAGAGGGCGCTAGTGAGTATGTTGTTGTTGCGGTATTTGGGAAGAAGAAAAAATAATTTAAAAAAAGAGTTATCTCCGGTTATTCTCTGTTCCTACCTGTGTGTGTGTGTGTGTGTGTGTGTAATGCCTGCTAAACTCATTGTCATCTTGAAGAAATAAGTTTGATGGGACTTGAGCTTTGTGACATAATGTTTTAGCCTGCTGGAAGCGGCCTTCAGAAGATGGGAACATGGTCCACATATCCATAAAGGGATAGACATGGTCCCCAACAATTCTCAGATGGGCTGTGGAGTTGAGTTGTTATTAAGATACTCAAGTTCCGTGATAAAATATCTCCGTTACCATTTCACCATTACCACAGTCTGAACTGTTGATACAAGGCAGGATAAATCAATGCTTTCATGTTCTCTATGCCAAATTCTGACCCTATCATCTGCATTTTGCATCACAAATCGAGACGTATCGGATCGGGCAATCTTTTTCCAATCTTCCACTGCCAATTTTTGTGAATCCATGTAATCTATTGCCTCAGTTTCCTGTTCTTAGCTGAAATGAGTGGCAGCAGGTGTGTCCCATCTGCTTCAAGTTTTGATGTGATGTTTGTTCAAAAATGCTTTTTTACATGTATTGGTTTTAACAAGTTTTTCTTTGGGTTACTGTTGTTTTTATCAGTTTAAAGCATTATGGCTGTTTTCCTTTGACCTCTGACATTAACTTATTTTCACCCAGAGAAATGCCGGTCACTTGATATTTTCTTTTTTGGACCATTCTTTGTAAACTCTAGAGACAAATTTGTGGAAAATTCCTAGTAGATCAGCAGTTCTGAAATATGTCTTAGAGACTTCTCTCTTAGATCACCTTTCTTCCTCATTCTGATACTTAGTAAGAACTGTAAAGGTTCATGCATTTTTCTTTTTTAACCCTTCTCTTAAGTGTTTTAAGAGAAGACATTAGAAGTTGATTTTGTATTTCAAATTTTCTGAAATCTTATGTTTATGTATGCAAATTCATCTTTATGCAAGTATGCATTAATGTTCCTATTTTAAAGTTTATTTGTTTTCTTGGCAGTGTGATATTAAACATTAGAAATTCCATATTTAGAAACAAACACACAGGCAAATTGTATTTACAGTTAAAATGTTGACCTAAAATGTTACCATACCATGTTTTTTGACATGAGGACATTTACATTAGTTATATAATGGCATTTGCTACAATTTTACCCATTTACTGAATTTTGTTTAACTATGATATCTAAATAGAATATTATCTCATCAATTTCCATACGTAACCAGTGGAAACAATATGTCTGTTGGGTGTTTAATTATCTGAAGACTTGTTATTAGATGCTTCTAGTGTCTCATTCTGATATTCTGTTCTGTACAGTAAAACACTCCATGACTGTTTTCTTCACTGCATCTTCTGGAGTCCCAAACTTCCCGGAGGTTGTGGCTGTTATGCTGAATGATGATGTGGAGGTTGGTTACTGTGACAGCAAACTCAAAACAGCAATACCCAAACAAGACTGGATGGAAACATTAAGAGATGAGGATCCAAAGTACTGGAAGCTGTACACAGGGGAGTGCACAGTGCATCAGCAACTATTTAAAGAAGAATTTCATGCTGTGAAAAAGCGCTTAAACCAGACGGGAGGTTTGTACATTGAAGTTTGTTGATTTGGTTTTGTTCCACTAAAATAGATTACTCAGTGTATACATTGCATTTCCCTGCTGTAGCTGTCTGAAGTGGAATCAATTTAACAAAAATGTATACCATGATATATTTTATGGAGTACCAGAAGATTCATGCATATTAAAATAGCAAAAAGAATCATGCTTCAGTAATGGAATGTGAAATAATATACACATAATATACACTTTAGTAAATTCATGTTGCACAATGTGAGGTGCACATTTAAGCAGCATTATTCATTATTGAAGAATGAGATAAATGCCTTTGCTTTAGGTTTTTCAAATTAATACCTGAGTGTGTCTTAGTTTTACACTAGTCAGTTTGTCAAATCTTTTTCCTTATGTAGTCAAGAAATTGGTCGCCAGGAACATTACTAGTAACAACTCATCATATTAAACAGGTGCACAAAAATAAAACTATAGATGCATAAATTATCCTTAATGCTGAGAAATGAAACAGGGACAAGGTATTGAACAGGTTTACTGAAATTTATTTGTGTGTATATATATATATATATATATATATATACAGTGACTTTGGTTTACTGTAGTCTGTGTGTTTTTCTTAGCTGTCCACATTTACCAGAGACTGACTTGTTGTGAATGGGATGATGAGACTGACAAAGTCAGTGGTTTTAATCTGTATGGCTATGATGGAGAAGACTTCTTAACATTTAACATGGAGACACAAACATGGATTGGCCCTAAACCACAGGCTGTCATTATAAAACATTTATGGAACAATGACAGTGCTCGAAATATCTTTTTTACAAATTACATCAACCAAGTTTGTGTTTATAGACTAAAGACCAATCTGAAGTATGGGATGAGCTTTCTGCTGAGAACAGGTAAATTAAAAACTTGATGTAGTTTTATGATTTATCATATATATTTAGCCTGCATTAAAATAATCATGAAGCCTATGCTTCCAATTAACTGTTAATTGATCAAATTTTCTCTTCAGAGCTTCCCTCAGTGTCTCTCCTCCAGAAGACTCCCTCCTCTTCAGTCAGCTGCCACGCTACAGGTTTCTACCCCCACAGGGCCATGATGTTCTGGAGAAGGAATGGAGAAGAGATTCATGAAGGTGTGAATCATGGAGAAATCCTGCCAAACCATGACGGCACTTTCCAGATGAGTGTTGACTTGGACCTTTCAACAGTGACACCTGAGGAGTTTGGGAATTATGACTGTGTGTTTCAGCTTTCTGGTGTTAAAAAAGACATCATCACCAAACTGGACAAAGCCATGATCAGGACCAACTGGGGTAAGACTGGAATAGTCTTATAGATATGAGAAAGACATATTCAGTCTTTTGTATTTGCTCTGTAGTTCAAATGTTTTCTACTTTTGTAGAATCTTGAAGTTGTTTCTGACCAGGATATGTCCGTTATTGTGCATTTTACAAAATTATGTTGGAATTTATTTAATTTGTGCAATACCTTAGATTCTTAGGATCAGAAATATCCTATCTAGTATGATGCTGAAAAACTAGTCCATCCAGTTTTTCTTCCAAGCCTTACAGTTGTAAAAAATATCATTGTAATTCATTTATTATCAGGTTGTCCTTAAAACTAATTGGAAAACCTTCAGTGTTAACAAACAAATGGATTACACAACAGTCTTTTCTTGTTTCATTTGTTAGGCTATGCCCTCTCTATTTCTGGTAATTCCACAGAAACCCAAACAAAACATGCAATAAGACTCTAATGCCTGGTTCTCAATCTCACAGCCCATGTCATCCCTACTTGTGGGCCGCATAATGACGTGAAGAAATATTTTTAAAAATAATTATTACAAAAATATTTTAATATGAAGTCAATATGAGCAGTATTACAGGTATAGCCCTAAAGAATGTAGCCTCATGGGCAGTGTAGTCCAAGCTGCAGGGAGAATGTGTGGGACTCCCCCTCCTGTTATGTGTGTGTGAGGGAGAGAGGGAGAAAAGTGCGAGTTGTCCCAGGCCCCAGGACATAATTAGGACAAAGTTTATAATTAAAAACAAAATGCTTTATTATTGTGGCGGGACGTGGTTTGCGATGCCACTGCAGGTGAGATGGACTCACCAGCACGGCATCTACAATCATGCCTTGATGGCTTAAATCCTGTGCTCTTTTTGTGTTATTGTTGTTTTTGGTGGTGATGTGTACGGATGGCAGTGGGAGAGCTGCAGCCGTTGAATGTACTGTTATAGCAACCGTGTGATTATTATAAGGGTTGTATTGTATTGTAAGGGTGGACAGCTCGCGGGAAGGACCAACTCGAGGTGAGCCGGAGGCTGGCGTGCCAGCGGGACCTGCAAAGCTGAAGACGGAGGTCAAGGTGCGCAGGGGTCTTGCAATGCCCGAGGGCCTGTCTTCCAACAAAGGCTGGCACGCTCCGTGGTTCTGTGTGCTGGCTGCCTGTCCAACTGCCAGTGAGCCCTGACTCACTTCCATGCCTGCTGCACCACCACTGCTTGCCACATGGGTGGCCACCAGACCAGCTCGGTTGGGGTGTGGTCTGCGATGCCGCTGCAGGTGAAATGCATTCACCTGCAGCAGCATCTACAGCTTAAAATCTGTGCTCTGCTTGTGTTGTTGTTGTTGGTGGTGATGTGTATGGCTGGCAGCAGGAGAGCTGCAGCCGCTGAATGTACTGTTACAGCAACTGTGTGATTATTGTAAGAATAAATAATGCTGCAAGTCATGTAAATGCCAGCAGCATTAATGGAGTACTTTTTGACATCGCCTGCAGTACCATGGCACAGGCCAAGCAGATCAGGTGGACAACCGCTGCATCAGTGGCGTATACGAAACAGGTCTGGCGGAGCTGCAGTACCAGTGATTCTCCATCGAGGAGAATGGGAGATCCTGGGTAGCTTGCCAGGTAGCCGGTGTAGGCATTGACGTGCTTTGGTAGGTATTTGGGGAAGGAGGTTCTCGGGCAGCTTGGCTGGAAGCCGACGTCAATGGAGACCCTTGAACTGAGCAGGACCAGGCAGAGCACTGACCACAGGTTTGGACCTAGCTTGATCAGATGGTGCAGAGACCTCTGGTGGAGGCTGGACAGGTGGTTGATCAGGTAGTGGTGTGGAGGCTGCAAGTGGTTGAGCAAGTAGCGGGTGGAAGTCGCAGAAACATGATAGAGAAACAGTCTTTAAATATTTTGAGGTGAGGTTAACAGTCTCAGTCCTAATTTTTGTAGACTCCGGAAGCTTGAGAAAAACTGTCAGTTTCACTCACCCCAGGCGTCCGCACCAACCAAGTGAACTGTAGACTCTGGTGGTGCTTTTTGAAGTCCTTTTTTTTTGCCTTGGTTAGGGTGGGAAAGAACTTTGAAGCCATGGAGAGCTGGTGAAGGAGTGGATTGCTTGGAAAAATGGATTCCACGACATTTAGCCCTACTGACCTAACTTTGAGGACAGAAGTCTAGGGGCCTTTCTCAATATGCGTACTTGTGCGTACTTGCGTTCTTGTGTTCTCGTGATACGTCATCAGTCATACGTCATACGTCATCAAGTACTGTTCCAATTCGAAGTACGCATCAAGCCGAGAACGCGAAAAAGTCCCGGATGTGTTCTCGCTCCGCCCGTTTTATCGAGCATGCATCGGTGGTGACTTGTGTAGACTTGGTACAGCTAAATATCCCAGAATGCATTTCGTCCAAAACTCAAACGCGGCAATGGCGGACGAGCGGGGCTAAAAACTTTTAAATATTACTCTTTCTGGGTCACAAAATGAACTTTTAAGTTCTTTTCAAGCAAGAATGTAGCTGTGTAAACTTCAAATATCTGCTTGATTTATCAAGATATTGTCAGGGTTCCTGGGTCATCGACCCAGTGCTTTCAGTTTTGTTCATGTTCAGTTTATTTTGCCACTGCCTGTTTCACTTCCTGTTTGTTCCTGTGTCAGCTCGTCTCGTGCCATTAGCCAGATTATGTTCAGCTGTGTACTCACCGGTCTCTCATTATCATCCTCATCAGTCTGTGTATTTAAGTCTTCTGTTTCTACTCGTTCTTTGTCGTGTCATTGAGGTTATGATGTTGTTTCCGCCTGTGTTCGGTCAGCCA